GGGAATGAATGTTGGTGCTAGGTGAAAACTTACCTTAAATAGTCTATTCTCTCTTTGTGTAAATGTAACTTGCTGTCTTCTATTTATGGCGTTCATTTTTGTTGGGATGGACTTTGTATTCTTTCCTATCTGATTGTATCAATTACTCCTGCCTTAGACTACAAACTAACAATAATTTCCTTTTAATTGCTACCATAACTGGTAATTATTTGCATGGGTTGTGGTTTAAATCAGCATATGACTGCAAAGCAGATCAAATATTGACAAGTTGGTAAGTTAAACTCACTGAAAAATAAAGACAAATAAAAAATTGCATCTCCATCTGAGAAATTAAAAATTTTAAAATATCTCCCAACTCTAAATATTTTTATGATGTCTATAAATTAAAAGAAGAAATCTCTAAGCAAGTCAATTAATTGTTCTGTTGTTATTGTGCAGATGCGGATGCACCCCCCTGGTGCAGACAACGCAGAACGAAAACATCCATTTGTGCGCAGCAATGACAAAGTTATCAAAGTGAAGTCAACAACACGAAGCAAGAGTCGTCGTACAAAACATCAAAACTAAGAGTTTGGACAGCAACGATGCTCAAAACATTCAATGTTTGATCAATCAAATGTGAAAGTATGTTTATACTGGACATAAATTTTGACCTCAAGGGTTGAACTTGAACCAAACTTGCAGAGAAAGTAAGTTTGAAGATTTCTGCAGTTGGCAGATGCATCTGAACAATGTTGAAAGTGAGAAATTTTTGCCAAAGCCGCAGTGCCTTAGCCATCTGCAGAACAGGTCACCTTTCTCAGCTGGCATTAACTTTGGTGGTCACCCTACACCCATTTGCTTGACTGAAAGAAAGTACACTGGAGACTTGTTTCGACTTCAACTGAGGCATTTGTTAGGGTAACTAACAAGACATTATATCAATATTCTAGACTGTCTATTATTTTTTTTGTACATAACATAGCAAAAATTAAAACCATGATACTAAATAAACATATTTGAAATTTCATGAAATAATTGTTTTTACAAAAAGGTAACATGAAACAAAGAAACTGTGTTGAAGCACTTTACTAGTACAGTCAAAAAATATTTGAAGCAACTAGCAATTGATCCACCATACAGTTAATAAAGTATACATGGGAGGTAATAAATAATTTTAAGTCACAGACCCTAGCTTGAAGAAACCTGCCTCTTCATGGATATTTTTTCATACACATGTACAAAGGAGAGGTTACAACCATGAGATGATGCTCTGCATACTGAGGAACAATAATGTAGACCTTGAAGAAACCTTGAAAGAAAACAATTTGATTAAGTTCACCTCACTGAAGTTAAAGATGTCATAGAATCCGAGAGTAGGAGTGATAAGATGGTTCCTCTGCCACCTATCTAGTAAAAAAATAATAAAAATATCTAGTCTACATACTCATGTCTGGCCCTAAGATGGAAAACGGATGGTTTCCTTAAGATCTAATTTCTACTGAAAAAAGTTAATAGAAAAGAGATCTATAGCTAAGCATTCCATGACAAATACATATAACAAATTCATTTCTTTATTCTTGAAATTCAGTTTTCGTAAGGTAGGACAATATACAGGAAGGAGCTGACAGCTGTCATTGATACAATATTAGTAGTACAACCAGCCTACAAGTGTCCATCACTAAATTCAAATACACATAGCATTAACATAAAATCATTTCTTTAATCTTACTTTTTAAAAACCTGCTTACATATAGATGCCTTCTGTTAAAACAGCATTATTTAGAGATCTCAGTGATGCTTTGTACAATATAAACTGTTCTTTCTCTTTACACCGTCCAAATGGGACAATTACCAACAATTGTTAATATTGCACAGTATTGTTTATACAATTGAATAAATACATATGCCACAAATTTGAAAGCACACACATTGCAAACCACTTATCAATTGCCCTCTGCACACCAAGCTCATGAGTAGATTAAAATTATTACAAAGAAATAAAGCAGTGTGTTCTCTGAGAAAAAATAAGACAAAGATATGATATCCAATTCAAGGTGTCTTACCTATCAAAGACAGTCAACTGCCTTTATTGATAAGACAGATAATTACTTTAAAACGAATAATTGGACTAGCCATCAACAATGGCTTAGCAAACGTGCAAAACAGCAATCAATGGTAAGTTATGATGAAAACTTACACAGAACCCTAGCAAAACACACACAATAAGGAAGACTAAGTTGAGAAGCCTATAATCCTCCAGTAATTCTATTATTGCAACACCACACTCCATGAAGAGTGAAGGCAAAATGAATTAAAAATGTAAACATTATTGATAGACAAGTTATTGTATTTTCTAAGAAACCGTTTCACAAATGTTATAAACTTTAATGATATTCCATAAAAAATTGTTCTAATAATTTAGATAAGTACCTGACAGGATTGCAGGAGAATACTTGTTTGAGTCATCGAATAGAAAAAACATTTTGTAGAATAGTCATAGAATTAGGTGACAACCTGATTGTATGAACCACTGAACCAAAACCAAAGAACTATGGCGCATGGTAATTATTTTAAAAAATGAATCAAAACAAGCTGATAGTAAAACCTCGTTAGTGCGTAACACCCCGTAGTAACGTTAACCGACGTTTTCCGTTACAGAGCAAAGTGAAATTTTACTGAAAGTTTAATTTGTCATTCGTCAGAGCGTAGTCCCGCTTATAAACTAACGATCGAATCGATGAATTTGTACAAACGAGGTTTCACTAGTACCAACAGTTGCCTAAAGGGAAAATAAAATAAGAATCTAGAATGAATCCCATTCAACCCTAAGAGAAGGGACTATGGAAAAACCTCACTAACAAACATTTATAGAAATACATGTGATTGTTCAAGATAAAATTTTAATAATGCAGACAAGTTAAGTCTTTGAAAGTATTCAATACATTTGACAGTAGTTGACAGCTCAGAAACAAAACTGCATTTGGATTGCACCAAAATTATAGGAATAATGCCTCTGTACACTATGAAAATAATGATGGTCTCAAACTAACCAATGTAGGAATGAGTAAAATAAATTATTTAGTGCAAATGCACACAGGACAAACATAATTCACTGAACCTTTGATAAAAACTTAAGCATAGCGAGGTGAATAAATAATAAGACAATAAAAACCTGAAGTAGCACTTATAACATGTGATAAGACATTGCAATACTATCAAAGGCAAGATCTGATGAAATTATTACTCCCAACAAATTTCTGCGAGAGATAAACCACAATTAAGGGAGAGACTTCACAAACCTTGGAATTCACAGTTCAGAATAAGTGGTCAACAATGCCCCAAAGTTGCAGCTAAATTACTTATATATTACTATCTTCTAAACAAATATTCAACATTTGCCACCATTTAAAGTTTTCTGTCAACACAATTACGTAGAAGAATTATTTCTACAATCTTAAGATGCAGTACAATAATTCATTCAAATTGAAATTCCAAGGAACAGCAGACAGTGCTCTCTTGCCCCAATGCCACCAATTAAGTCCCATGGTTACATACTAATCACATTATAATTATGATATCACAGTCCACTGTGACAGTAGCATAGAATGTATAATGTAAGCTGCAAACCAGATTAACGATTCTTGCACAGTTAGCACCCATATCTACAAATGAATAATAATGTCTTTCAGTATTTCAAGCACACCTTTGGCAGTGTACAGAGGGCAAACGCTTTAAGTTCCAGTTTGCAGAAGTATGGCGTACCATAACTATGGCTAACAGTGGAAATTTTGTTTGTTTGCTAAGCATCAAACAATAACTTAATATAACTTCTAGACCTGAACCTGGAAAAGAAACAGAATTTTGTTTAATAAGGCATGTACCATACTAAAATAGGTCCTGGAACATACTTCAGAAGCATTTCTGGACTTACTTCACATTTGTATAATTGTTCCATAACTTGTTGTTCGGGTTGTGGAGGTTGCTCCGCAGGGTTAGGTTGTGCACCATTTGAAGCATTGGTTGTGTTACTAGAACTGTTGGGTGCAGTGCGGCCGTATTTTTCATGAATGGCTCTGTGCCTCTTCAGAGCAAAGCGGTCCGAGAAGGCAACGTCACAGATATCACAACGATGTGGCTTCTCGCCTGTGTGTACCTAAAGGATTCAAAATACAAATAGAGTGCGGAGACAGGGACAACTAGACAACACAGTAATCAAGATAAGTAGTTTAGTGTTCCATTACTTACCTTGTTATGGTTTTTGAGATGAGTTGCTTGATTGAATGAAGAACCACAAACTTCACAACGATAGGGCTTTTCTCCTGTGTGAATACGACGATGATTCCACAAGGTAGAGTGACGGGCAAAGACCTTGTCACAAACCTAAAATGAGAAAAATGGGTTGATATGTGGATACAGAAATAAAGAAATGATATCTGTTTGTTAGGTAGACTGGTCATACAGTACCTCACACTGATATGGGCGTTCTCCGCTGTGGATCCTCTCATGATTTTTAAGATGAGGGCTTTGAGAGAACTGCATGCCACATACACCACATTTGTATGGCTTCTCCCCTAGAAGATCAAAAAAAAGTGAGAATTAGATATTTACAGTAGGAAGTTAATACCTAGCTTACAACTGGGGATGAATGCATGATAATCTATGGTAACTGTTCAAATTTCAATTTAATCAACTACAGGTGTGTACGAAATTTTGAAAATCCTGCTTGCACAACAGACGTCTTGATTTTTATCTATGGTAGCTAGAGGACTTGGCACGAGACATTCCTTAATAAAATAACTAGTGAAATGTAGGATACTTCAATGTAGATAGAAAAAAAAGGTACACGGGAACCTTGTAAGAACAATGAAACCATAAGTTCAATGAAATTGTAACAATTAAATACATTTAGAACTAAGCCAATAAATATTGACAGCCATATGAGGAATCTCTGCTCTCCCTCCTCAGCCTCAGCCAACTCCTCACCTCATAACATTTATTTTGTCTTTAAAGTTATGGGACATTGATCTTTTCCAGTACTGTGACAATTGACATGATTATGTTGCTAAATTGAAACTTAGGTAATTAAAAACTCCAACATGAAACGCAATTTGATCTAGAAATCTTTTGATACTTGAAATTAGTAATAACTTGACAAAATATGCTCCAGAAGATTTCATATAGAAGCAAGGAACTCTAGGGTATTGGAGGATCTGAAGATTGATTACATGACCAACCCAACACTTGAAGGGTGACATGAATGTCTCATTGAATATGAATGTCTTTTTGCTGAAGCCCCTATTGCACCAGTGGGGAAATGCAAGACGTGCAAATTGAAAAAAACAAACAAAAAAACACAAAAAAAACTCAATTTAAATCGAAGATGGGGAAATGAAACCCATTAATGTAGGAAAAAGCAATGGCCTTACAGAATATACTGCTTTAGATAAAACTTTAAACAGTTTTTGTTAATTTCTTTTCTCATCTTTAATCTTTAAGACTTGAACAGAGACTGGTTTTTCTGGTGATGCTTTTTAAAGGACATGTAAAGGCATTAGACTTCTTTCAGGCCTCAAGCAGGATAAGATAGTACCCACGCAAAGCCATCAAAAGAAAAACACATTGACTGAACCTGCACGGGACACTGACTCCATAGAATATAAGCAGAACTATTTTCTATCTAGGGAGTTCGAAAGTGAATCCTTGCCTGTATGAACCCTCCCATGATTCTTGAGGTAGGCGGCTTTGGCGAAGGCCAGGCCACAGATTTCACATTTAAATGGCTTGTCACCAGAATGTAAGCGTTTGTGGCTCCACAGAGATGAGTAGCGACTGAAGGTGCCGTCACACACGTTACAGTGGAATGGTTTGTCCACCGCTTGGCTGCAGGCAGGGAGAAACAGAGGCACACAATGAGAAATATGCAAAATTCACCTGTATGAAGGCGCCTGTGACTCCACAATGAAGAATATCGGGCGAAAGCAGCACCACATGTGTCACACACATGTCGCCTTGGTTTATCACTCGGCACTCTATTAAAAAAACTCAACTTATAAGAATTTCATAAACTAAAAAAACAGAGAATATTTTTTTTGGAAGAAAGAAAAGAGAACAAAAGGGGAGACAAAGCAAAAGATAAGATTGTGCTGACTTGAGTTAAAAAGGTAATCAGCAATACTTTTTGGATCATAACTATATAACACATGAAAGCTTTATATGATTTAGGGTGGTTAAGTTAACATATTCAGTGAGGCATCATCCCAATGTGGTAACACTTTGCTGGTTTTTCCAACCCTTTAGAAGCAATGCCACATTGAGCATGTTACTTAAGAAGTCCTGGAAGTGGTGAAGAAAATGGCATCCAACTCCACAAATCACACCACACTAATAATTTCAAAAAATACCAGTAAACAAAAAGCTAACTATAGTAAACAATAAGACCCCAAAACTTGGTAAATGAACTTACCTCCTCGTCCCACCAACAAATATTATGCCAGAGCCATTACACTTCTGGCACTTAGTAACAGTGGCCATCCCTCTGCGTTTCACAGGGTGATGTCCAGGTTTGACTGTAGTCTCTGCGCCATCTCCACCACTGGGTTCGCTTGTTCCATTGCCAGCAAAATTGGAGTGACCCGCTTCCTGACAATTACCACACTTCACAAATTTCCCCTTTTTCTTGCCTCCACCATGTTGATCACAAGGAATTTCAACACCACATGAAGTACAGCATTTAGGGGTTGAGGGAGCTTTATGCATTCTAAAGAGAAAATTATTTTTCAGTACCAACACATTCTATCCACTTTTAGTCCGGAAAATATTGCAGATGAATAGAACTTACTGAGATTTATGGGCTTTAAGTTCGCCCGGCATACTAAACACTGCTCCACAAATATCACAAGTATGTTGTCTGTCAGGAGTTGCGTTTGTTTGAGCAACAACTTGGGCTTGAGCTTGGACATTCCCAGGTGCAGCTGCAGCAGCTGGAGTTGCATTTGCATTTGCAGTATGAATGCGCTTGTGGTGATTGAGTAACGTGAGATGGCCAAACACCAGTCCACAAACATCACATTTAAAGGTGGCAGTTGAAGCAGCTGCTGCTAATGACATTTGATTGACAAGGGCATAGTTGTAGCTGAAAGATGAAACAAAGTAACAGGTTAGATAGCTCGGTTAACATTTCCCTAGCGAAGGGTCTCTGTTGTTTACCCGTCGTATGGAAAGAAACAGAAAAAAATAGGCGCAGTTTGGAATAAAATTCATACCCAAATGGCTGTGCTACATCAAATCGGTAGCAAGTTTTATCATCGCCTTGACCTTTCTGGATCATGTTAACATTGTAACAGAATGGAAAATCAACAGCATTTCCCTTGTTTTCTTCCTTAGCTTTATCAGCTTGATACATTTGTGGTGCACCACTAGCTTGTTGTTGTTGCTGCTGCTGTTGCTGTTGCTGCTGTTGCTGCTGCTGCTGCATACTTGGATCAAACATCTTGGGGTTTGTTTTGCAGGCAAATGCCTGCTACCAGAAGGGAGTAGATATATTTATATATGAAACCTCCAATAAACTCCTGGTTTACTAGTCTTGACTGTTCTCTAATTTAGGAGAGAAAAGGGATAAAATGAACAAATTAAGCATACTCCAGACATAAAAAATTGTTTCAGCTAAAAGCACATCACTTCTTACCAGATGTAAGCAGAATTCACAGCATGCTGTAGAAAATTTCCACCAATAGCTGGAAATAAAATCAAATTCATGCATTAAAAAAAAAATGCATATAAACACGAAAGATGTAACAGAGACAATTATTTAAAAGTATAATGTATCAGTAATAAATAGTGTTAAGTGCCTGTTTACTAGTCAACCACAACCCCAGAAAATGTTTTAAAAGTAGAATAAGCTCAAGTAACTGAAAAAGTAAAATAAGGAGAAAGAAAGAGCGAATAACTGAACGATAATCATCCAAGAGGGAGCCAAAAGTTCGTGATAATAATAGAGGAAAACAATAAAAACATTGAAAATCTGAAAAACGAAGGCTGTCATCAATTACTATTTTCATGTAATTGTGACAAGCAAAATTTAAGACGCAGAGCAAAAGTTGTGTGTGTTAAAAATAAAATTAGTAGAATATTTTAAGCAAATATAAATTTTAATCAGGCAGAAGAGGCCGAGGAGATATACAAATGGTTCGCCGAAAGTTTTTCCTAACCTACACAAGCAATCGCAACGAGCTGTCCCTTGGCTTGCAAGCTTCGTACGAACGAAGGTGGGGGTATGCTATTTAAGCAGAGCCCGATTAAGCATTTCCCTAAATGTTCGACTACCTGACTACGGCCTAGAATATCTCATACCGACTGGACATTGCAAAGAGGAAGCAAACCAAACAGTTTTGACATTACAGAGCGAAGAGACTAGTTTCTTATGTCACCAAACAATGCGTTAAGCCCAGGGTCAAGCCGAATGGAAAGAGAGGGACCAAACTATTCTGCTGTTACTAGGTCATCAATGGGTGCAGATGTGAATGGGGGCCAATTTCAATACAAAGAACACTGTTTACAAACCAAAAGTGCTTCACTTCTACAAAAAAATCAGCTGTACCTTCAATAAACAAGGTGCAGAAGAGTTTCCACATACGCCTATCTCGCTCTACCGCAGCGTCCGCCATTCCGCCATTGAAAACACGGTGCATTCTTCTCTCTCTTCAACGTCGCCAAAGCGTTAGTGCTGCCAACTGTTATTCCTTAACTATTGGAAAGTTTTAAGTTGTGACTGCAATTCCTGAATTTTTTCACGAAACTAGAATCATCGCAAAGGAATAAAATGCCTTAAGCTGTGTCTCATGTTGATAATTTCTGGAAGAATCTGCTTGCTTCAAGTACGTCTTATTTGTTCGGACTCTCAATCGCAGTCCAGTTTACCGTTCTGTATCCGTATCCGCCTGACTGCTAATATCCGGCATTGCGTGGCGCGGGATGGGGTATTTAAAATACAACAACTACTCGGGACTCGGCGTCTTTAAAGTAAAAATTATTTTATTGATTTTACTCAGCGACACAAACAAAAAAGGACGGTGGTCCTCTTGCAGTGTTACAGATATCTGGCTTTAATTATTGATATGAAAGGTGAAAAAGTAAAGATACAAACTTTCACTTGGCCCACTTCCACATAGAGCAGTCAGCACCCTCATTAATGTCAAATACAAATAGTACTGTTATAATAGTAATAAAACAAATTGACACATGGATTGCTACCACCAAAATTTCATCACCTTCAAATTGATTGAATTGTCAAATATCCAGGATCACCAACAACCCTAGCCCCAAGCTAAACCAACAGTGCAAAAACGTAACAGACATAAACAATTAAGCGTAAGTGCTTGCTATTTACTTAAAAAGGAGGTACACTTGTTGGAACACTATTTTATTCTAGCACCATTTGGTATGCCACCCCATGTGGAGGTTACAAATAGGATTATATTTCAGTACTCAGTTCTTGTGACCTCCCACCTTCCACCACATCAGCACTTTAACTACGAACTGGAAGACTATCACATTGCAAAGAACTGGTTCAACAGGTGTTGATCTTCCTAGTCAACCAACACTTTACCAACAGATCATTAAGGAATCTGTGCTGACACCATGATGCTAGGTGATACAGCACCAAAGGTTTATTTGAGAATGAACCTCTTCACAAAGGAGGAAAATTGAGTGTGTGCAATGTCATCTTCCAAAGTGCATTTTAGTAATGCTGTTTATTAATAATTAATAAGATGTCTTATACATACACCCTAAGAGAACATAAATTAAAGGAACATTGTCACAAGTTATGATACACAATACATACAAATCCTACTCAGATAGGAGCCAAACCTCCTTCCACCATTCCAAGAAGTTTTCATACCCTCATCACTAGATTATCATGTTTGACGTAAAACACATATACATAACTGATCAGAAATACTTCCCAGAAAATATCCTTCAGCAAGCACTGCTAAATTTGTTTTGTTCAAGGCATCAATTTGTTGACAGCAAAATAAGACAATATAAATAGTTTATAATTTTACGGTAACATTAATATTTGTTGGTATGAAAATATCCAAGGGGATTACTTTTGACACAGCATGAAATTTGAATTCTGTTGATGCAAGTAAAAAATCCAAAATACTGTTAACTCCCTTCCCTACACAGCTCAAGATCACAGCTCTGAATAGTTAAATAGGAATAAGATATTGCTTAGAGTAGGGCATTAAAAAGTTCTTATCCTTTTTACCTTGGCATAATAGAAATAATTTGCAAGCATTTACAACTATAATTCATAGATACATCCACCTCCTACATACAATATAACGGTAGAAATTCATTTGGATTTTTAATTATAACATAAAAATAACCTGATTCAAAGAGAAAAAAAAATTAAGTACTTCAACCAAAATAATAGAAAGAAGGCATGATCATCAAATATACAGGTTTAAAAGGGGGAAAAGCAGAGGTAGTATGGGTCCTTTGGCTAGAGTTGCTCTTTGGTGCAAAAATCAAATCTTAGTGAAATGGGCTCTGGAAACAATATATGGGCATTTCCTTCTCTGTTTTAACCTACTTTATATACTTGAGATAATGTAAGGGTATGTAGCAGCATAGTTCCACAATATAAAATACTTATAAATTAAAAAGGTCAAACAAAACCTGCAGTTGGAAAAAGATTGATAGAGTAATAAAATTCTCAGAGGAAAAAATTTGTTAGAGGTGAAAAGAGATGATTAAACAGAATGCACAGTTTCAAAGAGAGCTGGAATCAAAGTTTGTAAAAGCGAAATTTCTTACATTTTGTCAAGGGATGAAGAAAAAGAGCTCCTTCAATGTATTTTCCAAAGTCATTTAGTTATCAATTTCAAATCAGTCTTTCCCAAGTACATTTTGTGCAGACACAAAGAAATGCATAAGCTCTCACAGATCTGAAGTCAGATTTTGCACAAACTTCCATTTTCTATGGATCAAGGTAGTCCATTAGCAGGAAGAATGGGATATGATGCCTTGTTGTTTGCAAGCCACGAGCGAATTTCCTCAGCCAACTTTTCTCTAGGTACTTCCATTTCCTTACGTGTAGCAACTTCCCGCAGTTTCACGACACCACGGGCCAATTCTGATTCACCTATGATTATAGTCAAAGGTATGCCAGATTCTTCACAGTACTGGAGCTGAGCCAACAGCTTGGGGTTATTTTTGTAAGAATGTTCAACCTACAACACCATAAATCATAAACATCTCCAAAAATGAAAAGAGAATGATTCAAATGAAGGAAAATTAGTTACCTTCAGACCAGCCTCCCATAAATCACAACAGATTTTCATTCTCTCTTCCACCAAATTCTTCTGGGCAACTGCAACATAAGCCTCTACCTCAGTGGTACGTTGCTTGAATCCTGTGGCAGTGTTTTTAGCCTCCATCACGCTGAAGAGACGCTCCACACCAAGACTGACACCCACACAAGGAACAGCACGATTCTTGGGGTCAAACATTCCAACTAAGTTGTCATAACGACCACCTCCAGCAACACTTCCAACCCCAACATCAGAGGAACCATCCCCTAAAACAACATAAATGAAGAATACTTAGCAAATGAGGAATATTAAAACATTGCTAAAAAGGTAAGGTGGAATTAAAAACTTACCAAGTAAAACAGCTTCATATATGACGCCAGTATAATAATCCAAACCCCTAGCAAGGCTCAAGTCAAAGGAGGTGACACTGTCAACATTATAAAGCTTGGCATACTTCATAAATAACTTCATGGACTCAAGACCAGACTGAGCAGCTTTAGATGATTTTAGTTTGGGGTCTGCTAAGAGTTGTTCCACTAACTCCAAACCTCCACTCAGTCTGACATATTCTCCTATACGATCTGCAGCAGCTGGATCAAGCTGCTTTTCATTTATCATTTCAGTACGAACTTCATCCCATGGAGACTATAAAAAAAAACCCTCAGTAATCAACTTGATATTTAAAAGGATAATATAAGACAGTTAGATTGTTTTTCACCTTGTCCAGTTTGTCCACAGAAGAGCATATGGTGCGGAATTTATCACTGGGTACACCACACGCTTCAAACATACCATCAAGTATTTGACGGTGGTTAACTTTGATTTTGTAAGAACCCAACTGCATGTCATTTAAAATTTCTGATACAATTCGAACGCATTCAACATCTGGCAACATGGCATCATACTGGCCAGCAATATCAAAATCCTTCAAAATAGAAAAACTTTGTCAATACGGAAAAAATTGGGGTTTAATATCAGAATGTTGCTCTCTTCTGAGATCACTTTACTACTTACACATTGGAGAAACTCACGAAACCTTCCTCTTGTCATCGCAGGATTATCTCTGCGATACACTTTAGCTATGTGGTAACGTTTAATGTTAGTTATCTTATTCATAGCTAAATAACGAGCAAAAGGAACAGTCAAATCATAACGAAGAGATAAAAGTTCTCCTCCTTGATCAGCAAGATCATAAATCAGTTTTGAATCTTCTCCATACTTCCCCGTAAGAACTTCCTGATATGACAGAAATCAGAATTAGGGAACATCATTTAGCACATTGAACCTCTGCTTGAGTGCAAGTATTACCTTCAGCTCAAAAATAGGAGTGTCTATAGTTTCAGCACCATGGCGTTTGAATACATCAACAATTTTAGAGAGTACTTGTTGACGTAATGCCATCTGTTGTGGTTGATAATCTCTAGTACCCTTGGGGGTTTTGAGGGTGAACTTGTGAGGTCCATCATCGGATGTTATTTTAGCTTTTAAGGCCAGAAGCTTAGCAACCTCCTCATCAATCTGCAAAACAATGGACAAAACTGTAATGTATATTTAATTTTAAAGCAAAACACTCCTAGCTAAAGCAACTGCAGTTAATGTCCCATATTAAGAACCTGCAACCAACCTGACAAACAGTGAGAGTTGAATATGAACAATGTGCACGAAAGGAACGACTACTTCCGACCCATGTCCCAAAGGAAACACAATGGCGAGTCAAATTAACAAGTCGCATTATTAAAAGATGATAGTCCAGAAGCACAACCATGGGAATAAAAAGAAGAAAATGCACGCCCCTCAATACATCTGAAGACCACAGAGAAAAACAAAGTCTTTGGCAACGCACAATTATATGTAACTAAACAGCTTGCCTGACAGTTTAAAAATAACTTCAACTTTGGCTAAAATGAATGTGGAACAGAAAAAGATGCGGAGAAAGATCACAATGTATGGGAACTGGAAGTAAATCCATCCTAGGTTATAGCTTTAGAAAAGTAACATATTTTTCAGAAAGTTTGCACACATTTTCAACGATGTCAGAGCTGAACCAATCAGTTATTGGGCACAAACTGAAGGGAAAGCAATCGACAAACACTCAAAGTGTCATGAACTAGATGATGCAATATTGTATTAAATTCCTAGAAGCTGCTGCTAAACCAACTGAGCTTCAATAACTATTACCTTTTCTTTGGGCGCTTTTGCCACTTTCAGCTGACGAACAACATCACCTTGTTCCTTGATTTGATCTTGCACACTCGTTTTCACCGTGTCACCCATTGTCTCTCACAAAATAACAACAATATATCCTTTCCAAACTACCCTATCAGGCGCACATGGGCATGTGCATAGAAACAGTTTTGCTCAGGTGGCTGCTGGCGCTGGCTGGCTGACCGTGCTCTAGTTTCTAGTTGCGTTAACCTTCTCAGAAAATGGGCAGGATTGCCAACAGCTTTAAAAGCAATGGCTGATATCAGAAATCTTTCAAGCGGTAGAGAACTCACAAATCACAATGACATTGAAATTTTGATTCTATTTTATGACGATGAATCTTGCTCTATGGCAGTTATCTCATACATAAGACTTTTACCTATTTCATGTTTAAATTATAGGTTGTTAAAACAGACCAGGAAACGAAACAGAATGACAGAAAGGCCAACAGGCCAAAAGTGAACAAGGTCACTCCAGGTTCACAAGTGCGTTCCTTGTTCCTTGCTCGGCGCTAAACTTTTTTTCCTGTTAAGCTAAACTATTTTTCGCAGTAGACCATCAGATGCTCGTTCGTAATGTACATAAAGTACATCAAGAGATTAACGAGCATGAGAGCAGCACAAAACTTCGTGAACTAGTGACGACAAATGACGACGAAAAACAGTGCAAAACAGTGATGGTGATCCTGTTTTTCAAAAAGATAAAAATAAAGTTGGTCTACAAACCTACACTTGCAATAACAATTCACACTAAAAGGTTGATGACTTTTGACGATTTGAATCTGGTGGCGCGCTCTTCTCATCCTCCATCCTCCTTCGGCTCGGCTGCTCGGCTTCGGGGAGCTTCGGGGGTTCCTTCGGCTTTGAGACCGACCATCCGCCATATTGATTTAATCTGATGTGAAGTAGTAGAGTTCAGTTTTGTGGCTACAGTTTTTCTCTGCGTCAAATCGGGAGAAAACGTCAACGCTACGAGTACGAAGAGAAGTGTTTCGGACTTACAGATCCCTTCTTGTAATCCAAGGTAACATTTCACAATTTATGTGTTGTAAGACCTATGTTCTGGCTTTTCGGCGACGCCTCTGTCGGTTGTAGGCTCTTCCGTCTGAATGCATTCGGCTATCTTTTTTACTAACGGTATATTCGGAATAGTTAATAATTTATGTTTAATTTACTTAAACGCCAGAGGAAAATAATTCACATCTACATCCATACTTTGATGGCACTTATGTGTCCTTACTTTCAGCGAAATCCTAACCCTATTTTCTTGTATAGTTTTTCAAACTCTGTGTTCGATATTGTTATTCCAGACCTCACGATGTCTCATCGAGATTGGGATCTTAGCTGCAAAGTCTATGTAGGGAACCTGGGAAGCAGCGCTTCTAAACATGAACTGGAGTCTGCCTTTACCAAGTATGGACCTCTGCGGAATGTGTGGGTAGCCAGGAACCCCCCTGGTTTTGCTTTCATTGAGTTCGAAGACCCAAGAGATGCGGAGGATGCTGTTAGAGGACTGGATGGAACGTAAGTTATTTTCACATTATTTTTGATTTTTGTATTAAGTTCTCGTCAGACCCTTTAATCATTCTCTTCTTTACACTTCACAGAAGAATGTGTGGTACCCGTGTGAGGGTGGAGATGTCAAATGGTAGGAGTCGCAGTCGTGGAGGAGCTGGTGGTGGCAGCAGGCGTGCTGGCAGGTATGAATTACACAGTTATCCTTTCAGAAAGCAATATCAAGGAAACAAATTTCAAATCAAACAAATTTGGTGGGGGTTTGTTAAATTGTTTTCTACATTGTCAGCTTTTTTTAAAAGTCATTTCTGCATTTCAATTTCATTTTGAGGAACATTACTGAATTATTGTTTTAACTTTTTCCAATTATCAATCATCAATCATATTTCTCTTCCTTTAAGAAAAATTTCTATGTAGGGCATGCCTTTTATTTGCTTCAATTTCATAAACATCTATAAAATTTGTTGGTTTTAGAATTTTATTGGCTATTGACAGAAATGATAAATATTTGAATTATGTTCAGTGCTTCAGCTAAATCTTAAGATCATCACTGTTCAATGATTTTTCACTGTCAATGATATTTCCCAGTCAAAGTCAGTTTTGCCATCATGTACATTTGTGTCATGCTATGATTAATTTTATTGAAAGACACAAATGTATCTAGCCCCATGTCCCATACTTTAAACTATTCTTTAAAGTATCAAATTTTCTCATTCTAAAGTTGTTTCTGAGTAGTTTTTGTTACTTTTTCGTTTACATTTGTATGACTGTTTATAATAAGTCCACGCACATTTTGAGTTTTAAATGAAATATGGCGGGTTTCCAGGGCATTACCATCAGACATCTCCCTGTTATTGCTACCGACATGACATCCCACGCCGCAACACTCCGGTTGCTGTCAGCAGTTCGCTACACTTCACTCCACTTTGGACTCTGATACGTGTTTTGGGGTTGGGCTATGAAAAAATACACACACCTTTAATTGGGTGAATTTGCAAGATGAATTGCCATGGAAAATGAATAGTCTACTCGTGGATGAGCAGTACTTCATTTAAGGCCCAACCCCAGGCACAATTCAGTGGTGTAGACCACGAGTCACGACTGTCCTTCGGTCCACCTGTTCTTCGTTCTTCCCTCCATCGGAAAGAGTCGACTAAACCATCGCTGCGGCATCTCCACAACTACTCATCCTCCCCCGCGCCCGCCCGCCACTCGCCCGCCCGTCAGTCCATCTGCCTATTCAACTATTACTGCCCCAGCGCACCCGCGCGCCTCGCCCCCGCACGCTCCACCTCGCCACGCACGCTCTCTCTTCGCTGGCAAACGAGTCTGGTATTATGATAAGTGATGGTCTAATTGTAGCTTGTGTCATTTTGAGTGTTGTGCTTGACATTCACAAATTCCTTATGTATTGCATCAGTCATCAATTGGTGGTTGTTGCTCTGCATACTCTATGTGCAATGTTTTGCAAAATCAGCACTATTTCAAATAATACAAGTTGCAGTGGTGGGAAAATAGACGTGTGATTTCTCCTTTTGTAGAACCTCACCCTCTGTGAGAATTTATATATCGCTGGGGCAAGATAATTCTGGAACATGCAGTCTTATCTTTTTCTTCTAGGTTGGTGAGATCTCATTGAAATATCAATTTAGCTGCATCATTCCTCTTATTGTAAATTCCTTAATTCAAAAGTTTTCACCTTTTCTTTCTCTCAACTTAAGATATCTTGGTTCAGATTTTCCTCCCAACTTTTTCCACAGATGTATTGAAATCTGAAGCCCATGGCTGTTGCATACGGTCAATGAGAACAATTTTCTTTTCTTGCCTCTTTTGAAACCCCTGATGAGATCCCCTTAGGTTTAAAAGTGTTAGTGGTGAATGAATTTTGGCTGTTGGTTCCTTCCAGTGTTCTAACAGGGCTTTGTTTTCCAGGTCACGATCACGCTCTCCTCGTCGCCGCTCTCTTAGCCGGTCACGTTCCCGAAGCCGCTCCCGCCGGTCACGCTCAGGCTCTCGTGACCGCAGATACTGATAATACAGAATCAAATGGTGAATTGTTTGGGATTTTTGCAAAATTATTGATTCAAAGGGAAAAGAAAGAAAAATTGAGGCTCTTTAAGAACTTTGGAGTAAGCGTTCTCTTTTGTGCTGATCAATCTTAAATAATGCACCATATGTAATTTGATTCTTACAGATACTTAGTTTTAAGTCTTATCTTTATTCAATTTTAACTAAATGAGTGTAAATTTTTTCCATTGCATTATTGTTATGGCTATCATTCCTCTGTATTGTTGAAAACAATATCATGTATGTTGGCTCATGTTTCTTTTTAATTAGTAAGTGTCTGTACCAGTATTCTAAGCTTGGATTGCTTGTTTATCTTGTGACTCAAGTGCTAACTGTAAGATTAGCATCAAATAAGATACCTGTTAAATTTTATCCAAGTAACATTGACAAACTTGATGACTGCTTTTTAGACATTAATAACAGAGCACAATGTCATTAAATCATATACATGTCATTGTAGAGTTAAGTAGTTGATTCTCATATTTATTATTAGATATCATGTTTCTTTATCAAACAAATACATTCACGTGATCAAAGCTTTCGAATTTTGAGGGTTTTAGAACTATTTATGTTTGTCTTCACTTACATTTTTGTGTTGTACACTTTGTGTTTAACTTGTTCAGGGCTTGAATATTACTGTCATTAAATTAAATCACAACTTGACTTATCACAATAAGTTTTACTTTTATTTCCCCCTTTCCTTTAATAACAACTTCTTACTAATCTGGAACATTGAATGTGCACCTCAAATTACAACAGAAAGGTGACAATAAGTTCAATTCTTTTCACTACGCACTACGCATATATGCGATGACCAATATTTGGAAACTTGCAACTTACTTATGTTGATTTTGAACGCGGCGCCGCTAGACAGATGAAGATCAGCTGTAGTCAGGGCGTCATGAAACATTGCAGATGTCCGATCGGTCATACGTCGATGGGTAATCATTGTTTGTGCGACCCGATAAACTTTCGTAAGGGCATAAAACTTACTTTGGACACTTTTCTTATGTAAGCATTTGCCCATGGAAATTCCGAGTGTCTGTCCGACACTACTTGTCATTTGCCATGTATGAAAGTGGCACTTGTTTATGGTATCCCTTTGCATAATAAATCTTTTTAAAGCTGAATTTCTACAGATTTACTTCGTGTGTAGGGCTTGAACTTGGGAAATAAATCATTGTGTTTTACTGAGTTACTATGTGTTTCCCTTTGAGATAATTATATTTCATTTATGTCTAACCTCAAAATTTGCGATGAATAACAAAATTGAGAACTTTTGACAGTATGATTTTAAGTTAGAAATTGACATTGCCCCATTTTTCTCCTCTCGCAGGAAAATTCTACATTCCAGTCTATTTTAAGAAGTGTCAGTAAAAATCATAACATTATTTCAAGCTAGGAAATAGATGTTTTATGGAAAATGGAAAAGTTTGCTGTTGATCTTGACAAAGTTTTGGATGAGCTAGAATTTAATGAAGGTATAGTAACTTCGGAGAGAAAATAACTTTTTTATTATTCATTCTTTTTGGGCACTTCTAATGGTCAAACATGTAACTTACTTGTTCTAGATCGAGCAGAAAATCTGATCACCACAAGTGGCAGACGACACAATGCCTCTGATTCTTCCCCACCATCCCAAGTAAGACTTAGTGTTAAATTAACCAATTTGGAAAATTCCGCTTTGACTTGGTCAGATGAAATAGGATGACTTAGGATAACTTGTTTTTACTTACTTGCAGGATCATGGCTCAGCAGCCTTGCTTAATACTCAACAAGCACCATTTGATTCAGGTGACAATGGAAGCCGATGGAGGCCTAAACCTCTTCCTGTCTCTCAAAAAACTAGTGTGAGTGGTGTATTTTCCAGTCTAAATGAATATTTGAACTCAGGACGGGGAAAATCAGTGCCAAGTGATAATGACAATAATATTGACAACTCGTGCCCTCAACCTGAAGGGTTCCACTGTCAATTTGAAGAACCCTACGCTCAGGCTTCTACCTGGTCTCCAGTTGCATCAAATGAGTCTGCCTCCTTGGATGAAAAGCCAGATTTGATTGACTCAAGTAACTTCCAAAGTAGTTTGTCTCTTTCCGACATTCCTCATGAAAGGGCAGACTGCGATCCTAGACCAAACATTCAAGGCATACCTCTCCCGGATATTGCTACCACAGGAAAATCTTCTGACAGTAGTTCCTCTTTGGATCTTATCAGTCATAAAACTAATAGATCTGATTTAGATTGTGAAGGTGTTGAGGCAGATGTTAAGGTAGCACCACCAACTATTTCAGAACCATCTACTTCAAACATGCTTAGTTTTGGGGGCTTAATTCCTGACAAGCTCAATGATGATGAGTTAAATGATTATTTGTCAGACTTGGAATTAGAAGAACAGAAAGAAGAACTTCAAAAGCAGCTGCTTGATGAATCTTTGAGCAAACCTAAAATTAAGATTCCAGAATCTGAGGAAACTCAGAAAAAATGTGAATCTCTATATGCATCATCTACTGAAAAACCAGCATCAGTCACTGAGGCTTGTGCTACTGCTCCCACCTCTATAGATCGCACTGTCTCTGATGAAAGAGCTCGTAGCCAAACAACTTCCCCAAATAATTCGAATGAAAAATCCACAGATTCAGCTGTTCCATGTACTTCAACAGAAATTCTGCTACAATCCAAGGAAATAGCATGCGAATCTGTACATGATACCTGTGAGACTTCATCACAGCTCTCAGGTGTTAGCGAAACTTCTGATAGTAGTTTCTGTGAAACAACAGATTTAAATCCCCAAGCTCAACCATCAAACTTTAATGCTGACTTTGAAGAATCTTCGGACAGACCTGAGGTTCAAACTAATGGAGACTTGAAGTCTTTCACCTTCCAACCTTCAGATGGTGTAAGTGAAGAAGTTCTCTCAAATGATGCTAGTTTGATTGCTGCCTTAAACTCCTCATTATCACATAAATCGAAGGTTGAATATGATTCTGTTGTTAACGAAATTCCTACTGAAATTGAAAGTCTTCAAGATAGCATTAACACAAATACTGCGCCAGATGCTTCAAGTGCAGGGTCTTTACTGTGTAGCACTTCGAAAGATGGTAAATTGTTATTGAACATGGTATCAGAAAAGATTTTACCACTTTCTCTTTCAATTGATGAAAATTTAATTGCACCATCAAACTCATCTCCATCTACACCTCCTACTGTACCAGTAACTCCTACATCTGAAGACCCACCAGTACATGAAGAGTTTGTGTCTACCATCTCAACATCATCAACACCCTTTATGACACCAACTGCTGTTCTTTCCGAATCATCTGAATTTCCTGAAGAAAACTGCCCAATTGAAGCATCCTCTCCTGCAGCTTGTTCATCAGATAGTTTTGAATCAGATACTAACATCAACTTTGATTCATGCCAAAAACCTGTTCGACCGTCCTCGTTGGAAATACCTACTCGCATAGAGCCTATTCAGGCAGATACAGCAATCAGTAGTGAAGACTCTCCAGCTTATGATCTTACTGTTGGTAGGTTGTAAAACACGAAGTAACTAACCTAATTTAGTATGACCGCTTATACCTATAAATTAAGAGTGTTTTCACTTTGTCAAATGCAGGACCTCCTGGTGCAACACCTTGTGCGACTCGACCCTCTATGGCAGAATCTCTTGCTGAACCATCTGAGCCATCGGAACCATCCGAACTATCTGAACCATCTGAACCATCCGAACCGTCCGAACAGCAGGGAACTGATGAATCAGCAACGGAATCATCCATTGATGAAACTTTATGCGGTGCTGTTGGTGGTGAAGAACCTTCAGCAACTGTTTCCACTGATGAACCACAACTTGGGAAAGAAGCTCCGTTCTGGGTCCCTGATGCTGATGCCCCGTATTGTATGCAATGTGACCAAAAGTTTACAGTCCTGAAACGGAGGCACCATTGTCGTGCTTGTGGCAAAGTAAGTACAAGGCTTCTAGAACAATCTATTCATCTAATTGGTTTTTCATTTTTTAAATTATCTTGTTTTAGGTTTTGTGCTCAAAATGTTGTAGTGAAAAGGCTCATCTGAAGTACACAAATGCTGAAGCTAGAGTTTGTGTCCCATGTAAATCTATACTTCAAGGAGGTATGATATTTTTCCAAATACCTTGCATTATCAAATTAAGATTTCATGGAACTATAAAAGCCAAGAAAATTGTCATATATTTTTTGTAATCTTTCCCAAACTTTTCCAGGGAATGTTGGTTTGCCAGTATCACCTGAGAGAAGTTTACATCCTAATCCCAACAACCCAATGGAATATTGTTCAACAGTTTCACCTCTGCTTCAAGTTGCTGGATCTTCACAAGCTGCTCCAACAGTAATGGTCCCTGTTGGAGTTCTGAAAAGAGAAGGTATAAAATATAAAATTGGCCTCTTTGACACTCTAAAGTTTTACCTCAAATTAAATTCTTGCGTGGTTTTAAATTGCTAGACTTCTCATTTAATGGTAACATTTTATGTGCAGGAAGTACAAAGCCCAAATCAGAAGCCAAACAAGTAATGTTTAGTGATGGTATTCGTCCTGGGGCTGATCTTGCTGAACTTGATGGTTCCACTGAACCTCGCCTTTCCATTCGAAGAACTGGCCGCACTTCAAAGAGAGTTGGCACCCCACCTGGGAGCTCATCAACCCAGAGAACTTTGCCCCCTGTGGATGGAACTACTATGAGTTATGTTCCTCATGGAAAAGGCCTTCCACCTGTTGTAATAAGAGGAAAAGATGGTATACAGTTTGAAGAAGATCCAGATTCCTCTCGCTTAATGGCAGTGATCCAAGACGAATCTGCCCCCCCTGTGAAATTCACAATCAATCGTAATTTGTATGTGCTTGTAAAAATTTTAAATTGTAAGTATTTTTTATTTTTAAAAATATATTTTCCCTAAAGATCTGTTTATTATCTATCTATTGATCTTATATTGAAATTTGATTATTATTTTCTGCTCTGTTTCCAGTGGATTGTTGTGTAAATCGTGTTTGCTGGTGTTTCACAAGTGATGGATTAAGCTCCGTTGGTCAAGATGAAGTAGTCATCATACTGGAAGTGGAACCAGAGGAAGCTAGTGTTCCCAAGGATATTTTTATCCATTTGAACACCCTGTTCATGGAAGCTGCTAAAGGCAATACTGTTACAGAGATGGGACACACTCTGACTCAAGGTTTACCTTTTCTGGGTTCAAAGGAACATGGGGGATTTTTATATGTCCGACCAACATTCCAATGTCTACACCGTCTTATCCTCCCTCCTGCCCCATACTTAGTTGGTGTATTAATTCATAAGTAAGGTGTCTCATTTATGAGGTTCTAAATTCTTACTTTTACACTTTTATTTAATGATGTGAATGTTATTTTTCATTTCTATTAGGTGGGAAACACCATGGGCCCAAGTCTTTCCCATTAGATTGATGTTGAGACTAGGGGCAGAATTTCGTTACTATCCATGTCCTCTTGTGTCAATTCGTCAGAGATCAGCTGTATATGGAGAAATTGGGCACACAATCATTCAAATTTTAGCAGTAAGTTGGATTTGCATCTTTTATTTGCTCTTCATTCTATTTTGATTCATTAAGACTTGCCTTGGAAATACTCTGTATTTATTTGAGATACCCTTTGTTTAATAGGATTTTCGTAATATGGCATATACATTACCAACAGTCCGAGGATTAGTCATTCATATGGAGGACAAGCAAACCACTATTCTTTTGCCAAGAAACCGTTATGATCAGGTAATTATACCCAGGTGAAATTTTTTTAATTTTTTTATATATAACATTGTGACAAATAATACCAAGTGTGCATTTTACTACAATAGGTTATGCGTGCATTAAATAACTCTAATGATCATGTCTTGGCATTTGGAGCAAACTTCAGTCAGGCTGCTGATTCACATTTAGTTTGTATGCAATCAGATACAGATCATAGTTACCACACTCAAGCCATAAACATACACAACAAACCAAGGAAAGGTGTGTGCTTTTTGCCTATGGATAGAATTTTGTTAGTCTGAAAAAAACTTTTGAAATAACTGTCATGTTCTCTCATAGCTACTGGAGCATCTTTTGTTGTCTTCAATGGTGCTCTGAAGGAATCTGAAGGAATGGCAGCAAAGTCCTCGATTGTTGAAGATGGATTGATGGTGAAAGTAACTGCTGAAACCATGGCTAGTTTGAAAACTGCTCTACGGAACATGAAAGACCTAAGCATCACTTGTGGGCCAAATCATCCATCAAGTGAAAGTAGTAATGCTGGAGCAGGAATCTCGCCAAGTGATGAGGTAGTTCTTATCAAATGGTCTGAAGATGACAGAAGTTTCAATATTGGGTCAGTAATTGAAGATAGGGGCATATTGTTACTCAATTCAAAATATAGCTTTACCAGTTCTTTTATATATCACATAATCTTATTAATTTACAGTGTGCTTAGTAGTGTTGATGGCAGACCACTGGATGGAGTACCTTCAATTAGAGTTCATAATGGAACAGACTATCATGGTGAATATCGGTTCATCAGATGGACCGAAGTTTTCATTCTGGAGGTAAATCTTTAGATGTTTGATTTACACTATTATTATTATTATAAAAAAAGATTTGAATGTTCATGAACTGTAATGGTCTATCTCATCTCTTTCTAGTCTGAAGAAGGCTCGGGAAGGACAGGAGATCCTGTGGACATCAGTCGTTTATCTGAGCAGCTTGCCAAAGCAACCTGTCTCGCTTTAGTAAAACTATTGGATCTGCTTGCAGCAGCTAATCTTACCACATTGGCAGTCCGAGCTACAATTCACCCTGAAAATGTTGAGTACCAAGCAGGTAGCAATGGAGAGAAGTTACCTCCTATCTACATGAACAGTTTAGACAATGAGTTAGTACCTGTACTTCATGAAGCTGGATTAATGTCTGGAGAAAGTCCTGCTGTTTTGGAACTGGTGTTCCGTATTATGGAGTCAGGATAAATCATTTGAATAGTCCCTAGAAATTGTGATAAAAACTGCAATACTTTAGTCTTAGAACTATAACTTCAAAAAATCATAAAAAGTAGGTAATGGTCAAAAACTAATCTCTTTGTGTTTTCTAGTAAAGAATACATGCATCTTTTGCACTGATTTGTACCGTCCTTGAAAAGTGTGTTTTCTAACTTAGTTATTGCAAATTCATTTGATTTAAAAATATCATATCTCAAACAAACTAGTGTGATGGAAGGCTGATTTTTTAAAGTAAAAAAGAACTTACATGTTACTCCGGGACTGTACAGTATTGTGCATATATTTCTTGTACTATGATTGTAATATACATCATCTCCTATATCTTAGTTAGCACAAGGTCATCCATTTTGGCCAGCTATCATGACGTGCTTCATATGTGATTTTCTTGCAATTCTTGCAATTGGTTTAGTTTTCTTGTTATTACCCCATAGGTGCTTTTTAAAGTCTGTGAGACAATAAGTTCTCTATCTTGGAAAACTAAGCTTTTATCATCACCTCATGTGGAAAAATTTTATTCATGTTAAATGTGCATATATATATATATTTATAAAATGTTCTCTGTGTTAATATTGTTTTCACTTTCTGTTATAATACAATATATTTTCTAAATAGTGCAAGAGACTTGTACCTTCTATTATTCACAAACTGTCTTGAGTGATGGTAGGTTTGTTTATGTTTCTGATAACCCTTCAGTTGCTTTGTTTTGTCTGTGATATTGGCATTGAATTGATTGTACTTCTAAACAAAATTACAAGTAGCCTCGTTCATGAAAATGGAGCTGTCTGCTATTTTCAAATATTATTTGCACCTTGAGATTTTTATGGTAACTTAAGCAGAAGAGACATTCCCCTGAGCAGTTGGTAGCATTCCAACCTTTTTGGACATTACTTCTGTAGTCTTTTTTTCTTCCTGCAAGTAATTTGCAATTTTATGTGGAATCATGCAATGATAGCTTTAAAATAAATTAAACCTTTGTATACTCCAGACTGAACTGTTTGTGTATTGGTATAAATCATCAGATTTAGGCAGCAAAAGATCCTTACTTTCTAGTCTAGCAGTGGAAAGATACAATGTTTTAGTTAAATCTGGAAAGGATTTGCATAGAATCAACTGTAGTTAGTATCTACACATTTTGTGATAAATTCAAGCCAATAGTTTGATTTTATGTTAATCTATTTTCATGGATTGATTAGTACAGTTTAAACAATTGTCTTGTGAAAGTGATTCATCACAATCTTAAATGGAGGAAGGCAATATCGGCCTGCAACCCAAATCTCAATTTATTGTAAAAAATGAATGTATGTTATTTTACTACTATTACAGTCAATCTCAATCTGTCATATGTTTTATATACTCCTTCTATCTTACTATCTTACTATCGAGATAAAAATACAACATTATAGATATTTCAAAATGTGCATGTGCATTTATTGTCTTTTTTAGTTGAAACCCGGAGAGCTCCGTAAATCCGTAAACGTAGGCAGGCTAAAGGTGTAATAGAGAGAGGTGGCCGCAAGAGGGCTACTTGTCACTTATGTGCAGACCTTGGATCGGCCAACGTTGATTGTACGCTGATTAATTTCGGTCACCAAAGTGGTTCAAGACCTCTAAGGTTGCTATCAGCAATGGCCGGGTACTCAGCATGCCAGCGATGATCGGCTTCCTTCGCAGTGAGCGGCCGTGAGTCTTGCCCCCCCCCCCCTCTCCGCCAGGGAATGACAACCGAAGACACGAAATCACGTCATTTTTCTCAAACGCTCCTGTCCTAGGTTTGATCCATTTGATCTTCCCTCCAATTAGGGTGCTTCCCTCGCTACCCTCGCAAACAGTTGCCATGGCAACATGATTTGTTCCGCCCCGCTTAGTATACCCTTTTTCGATAACATAACAAAAAGATGTGGTAGAACCGGTTGAACTACTGTCATGGAAGGTCTTCCGCTTTTGCCGGGCTATAATTTTCGGGATCCTACAGTGAGTAGTATTTCTTTTATATTAATTGATATGCTCATGTTGAATATTTATTTATGATACAATGTGACTGGTGAGTTGTTTGCTAGTAAAGTCTCAACTTATACTTCAAAATATTTTTATGCTGTCCATAGAAAACAAAACATCACATTTCTCATGCCTTTGACTTTATCAATGGCTATCGGATACCAAAAACCAATCCAAATATTGTTGGGCCTGGCAAATACCCCAAGGATGTAGACTCTATCGCTCACTATAATGCTCTTGCATCTGTCAGGTATGGACAGAATGATGAAGTGTTTCTGTACATTAGATTAAAAGTTAATTTTGAAATTTTTTCGTAGGTACGACCCTTCTCTCACATATGGACGAGTTCAAAATTATCCCTTGAAGCAATTCATGCCACACTATGCACAATACCGAGGAAAAAGTTTGTGTTTCCGAGCCTATTTTAAGCAGTCTATTCATGAATCCCCTGATGAACACTATAGAGTAAGGAAAGTAAATATTGTTTACTTCCTTGAAGACGATACAATTTCAGTCATAGAGCCCTCTGTTATTGTAAGTTGCTTATGTCAAATTCATTTTGAAATCACTTGATACAATAAGCCAGCATAGACCTGTGTTATTTCCATAGAATGCAGGTTTTGCCCAGGGGAAGCTTGTGAGACGGGGCAAGATACCAAAAGATATTGGAGGCCAATTTTACCATTGGAAAGACTTTGATGTTGGCATAGATGTTTCATTTTACTCCACAGTATACCACATAGTTGACACTGATATCTTCACGAGAGTAAGTCCAGGCTGGCAGAACATTTCTTGAATGCTGCAATCACTTCCAATCCAAGTTTACAAATTTCTGTAATTTTTTCTAAGGAGTTCATGCAAAGCCATGGTATTGATATGGGTCCCCCAGAAGAAATGCCTGAGGATCCCTACATTCAAAAGCGTTCAGAAAAGTTGCCTGTCACCACAATGAAAACACCTACTGTGGATGATAAACTAAGACGCTTTCTTGAGTATGATGGTAAAATTTTGAGGTAATTCGGAGATTTTACTTCACAATCCATACTTTTCAAATAATAATAATAAGTTTCAAATCATGACTAAATTTGATCCTTTAGGTTTTATGCCATCTGGGAGGACGATTCTGAGTTAGGAGAGAAGAGAGACTTTGTCATACGTTACTATCTTGCTGATGATTGTGTTGAAGTTGGTGAAGTACACAGGAAGAATGATGGTAGAGATCCCTTTCCACTCCTGTTGCACAAAACAAAAGTTCCTAAAAACTGGAAAGAGGTTCCCTGTAAGTGGGTCAATTAAAAGTTGATAATATGATTAAAACAGGGCCTTAATGTGTTATTCTTTCACAGTAACTTATCCATCACTTTACCGAGAGCTAACAGAAGAAGAAGTTGAAGAATTCTACAGTCCAAAAGATTTTGCAGTAGGGGATACAGTATTTCTCTTTGCTAGAAGGTAAGTTATGCCATTATGTACCGCCTTCAAAAATAAGATGAACAAAAAAGATTTGTCAGGAAAATTTCAAGGTACTCTTTTTTGCTACAGGCTTTTTATATATGACTGTGACCCTTTCACTCGCAATTACTACAGAGAGTGCTTGAATATTGAACAAAAACCTAAAATACAAGTTACTTTTCCAACTCCTACACTTCCACAACATCCACACCCACCACACACAGGAATCGGAACAACAGAGGACACAATTCAGAATGTTCTACGTGTTATTCCCAAGGCACCCAAAAAAGATGTGATTCGTATGCTCCACAATGCAAACAAGGTAAGAATAGTCACAATACTGTAAAAAAAAGGTTAAACTTCTTTTTTTTAAAATATCTTAATGATGGTCAGATATTTTGGATTATTCTGAAATCTAATGTCTTTCAGAAATTAAGGTACACTGCTGTCCTAGACAAAGTGCATCCTGAAGATGAGCAAAGATCGTTTGTATTGATTTATTACCTATCAAATGGCGAATTAGAAATTATGGAGCCACCCCAAAGAAATTCTGGCTACACATTTACTCGTTTCTTACGTCCAACGCACATTGCAAAGCCAAATACTAATCTGGATGACCCAGAGTTTTATACTCCAGCAGACTTCTATATTGGTAAAATGAACTCAGATTTAATAATTAAATTTTGAAAAAATAATCTGATATCAACATGGGTGTTCTTTAAAATAACTTTTTAAAACTTCAGGTGCTATGATCACAGTTTTTGAACATCGCTTCCTGATAACTGGTGCTGACCTAGCAGTGTACCGCTACATGCAAGCCAATCCAAGTAAGTTCCCAGAAAGTACAATCAACAATATACGGAATCACATGATCCAGCAAGGTTTCCTAAAAGAAGAGATTGAAGACAAAACCAAACTCAATATAAAAGCACAAACAAAGGAGTGTCTTGATGTGGCATGTTGTGACCCATGCCTTGAAAATGTGCCAACATCTCAAGCCATGGGAGATTACAGACCATTTGGTATGAAGAAATTTGAAGATGATTGTATTTCAGTAAGGGATGTCCCTCAACACTTCAATTAATAGGAGAAAAGTACCCAAGTATATATTGAGGTGTTTTTACCATTTCCGAGTATTTTTTAAACCTTTTCGATGAGAATGTCTTAAATGGCAAGATATAAGAACTCTTTGAAGTACATTATGCAAATTAACCCCTGCAATTACCTTCTGCTATTGTTTACAATAAAGTCAAATCACCTGTATTTTGAATTTTAGATGATTTTTTCTTCCTTCCTTCCAAAGCTTTGTATCAGATGCAAAAAGATTAAGGTGTTAAAAATAATTAAAGTAAGGCAACTCAATTTAAAAATGATATCTGTGATATTGAAGAAATACACAGATATATTTATTTATACTCTTTAATAAGAATAGCAAGTATCATCCTGCAATTCACTTTTCTGGAACAGTATTTTTGGGAGAATCACTAAAATCATCCTTGTCATTATTACTGTCATCAGCAGGCCTTGGTGATGAGGTGTCAGCAGGTGGATTAGGCCCAGGTCCAAACTCAATAACATCTACTAATGTTTTATGGCCATGTGGAGGTGGTCCTATCAATTGACAAATATCGTCATAGGATAAGGTTTCTTTCTTAATTAGTTCTGCTGCAACCTGGAAACAGAATGATGGAAAGTGCACAAATATTGGCAAAAGGGAGTACTGGGGAGCATTATAGCAGAACAGCAAATACTGAAGTATATTGAACAATATTACCTTTTCCAAATTTTCAGCATTTGCCTTTAAGATTTCTTCAGCAGCAGAAAAAGATTGGTTGATCAATTTACGGGCTTCAAAATCAATCACACCATGTAGTTTGCGACTGTAAAAGCGATTTCCTGGTTCTTCAGTAGAAGGGAATGATACTTCTCCAACAACATCATTCATGCCATAATCAGTAATCATACTGTAGGCAACTTTTGATACTTTTTTCAGATCTTTATCAGCTTGTGTTGAGTTTTGTTTAAAAACAATTAATTCAGCTGCTTTGCCTCCAAGATACATAGTCATACGGTCACACAACTGAAAAGTTATGTCACATTTTATGAATAATTCAGCAAATTTAATAGCATTATGTACAATATAAACCAAAATTTTTATGCATCAATACCTCTTCCTTAAAAGTCAAGAAACTTGAGGGTCGAAAATGTTGGATACTGCCTATCCCTGATGTATACTGAATAATGGATACTTTCATCAAAGCATCAGTATGTTTGAGCATCCATCCAACAATGGTGCGACCTGCGTGGTAATATGCAACTTGCTTCCTCTCATCATCACAAATTGTGCGTTGTTTCTTTTCACGGCCAAACTTTACTCGATTAACAGCATATTCTAAATCAGACGCAGATATTTTCTTGAGATCCAAGCCAGCGGCATGTAGGGCAGCCTCATTACATATGTTTGCAATGTCAGCACCTGTTGAACACATGCATGAGAGAATTTGCAGAGTAAAAATTGCTATGAGTAAACCAGAGGACTGTTTCAATGTCAAGGTAACAATTTATTCTTACCACTGTATGCTGGAGTTAACTGTGCAAGTCTGCCTGAGTAGTAAGATGCAGGCTGATCTAGTTTCAGTTTATTTAAATATACCTCAAATATTTCTTTTCTTTCTTGGAAAGTCGGTTGTCCTATAAGAATATGGCGGTCAAATCGCCCTGGCCTAAGTAGGGCCTAATTTAACAGGATAAATAATAATTGGTTTAGGGGGAAAAAAGTTCAACAACAATACAGTCAGCAAGTTGATTCCTTATACCTCATCCAAGACATCTGCTCGGTTGGTTGAAGCCAACATGATTACACCCTCATTGTTAGCCATACCATCCATTTCAATTAGAAGCTGAAGGAGAGTTTGAATTTTTTCACCACCTCCAAAATCAGAATTGGGTCCTCGCTTACCACCAATTGCATCAATTTCATCTATATATACAATACAGGGAGCAAGCTTTCGAGCTTCTTTAAATAAATCCCTGGTTAGAAAAAAGAAAAAAAGAATTTGTTGAAAGAAGAGCAGTACCAGCAATTAAAGTAGTATGAATCAAAGAATTACCCACCTCACACGGGAAGCACCAAGTCCTCCAACAACTTCCACAAATTCTGAACCATTCATTGAGAGAAATGGCACATCAGCCTCAGTTGCAACAGCTTTGGCTAAAAGAGTTTTACCACAGCCAGGTGGGCCCAAAAGTAAACTACCTTTGGGAACCTAAGCAGTTAAATTTTCATAAATTTAAAATGTTTCAAAAATTACAAAAAGGTGAATACTTGTTCTAGTTAGATAATTTTTTCACCTTTGCACCAAGCCGGCGATAATGTTCAGGTTTTTTCAGATAATCAACAAACTCCATGACTTCTTGCTTTGCTTCTTGCAGTCCTGCAATGTCAGCAAACTTTACCCCCCGACCTTCTCCTTTGGTCTTCGGATCTAAAAGGGTAAACTTGGCTTTAGTGAATCCAGACTGCAAAAGAGAAATAATCTCATTAGATTTAATTAGAATAAGTACACATTTTCAACGTAACAACAAACCACATTCTTACCCATGGCATCTGTCCTTTTTTCAAAACTTTGAATGCAGCTACCATATTTAGGAGCAAGAAACCTATGAGAAGGGTGACAGCTAGAGATGGCCACACACTATCTCTATGCCTGTCAAAAATTAGAGGTACTCCATTTCCAGCGCTAATACCCAGTTGTCGCTCAGTTTCCCTCAACTTTTCTTCAAATCGCTCAATGTCAGGTATTTCCATTGTGAATACTCTGTTACGTACCTACAGTAAGAAAAATATTTAATAGAATTAATTTTTAAAAAATTATTTTTTACCAAATTGTGAACAGAGAAAAACTTACAGGTTTCCCATTTAGAATTGCATTTTCATGGAGTACTACATTTGCAATCCCATTATTTGCTATAGGTATGACAATGATTTGTTGTACTTCTCCTTTGGCCAACATTTGATGGACAAACTCTTGCCATGACACCTGCTTTCTCACAAAATGAAGAATAATTACATTAGTAGAAAACAAGTACAACTTTTTTCAGACCAGCTGAGTAGAAAATACCAACCCGTGTTGCTATTTGATTATCAGATACAAAAAGAGATGCAAAAGCTAATAATGCCGTTAACAGAGTCAGGACTTTTACAGCAAACTGGAGCTGACTCTTATCATTATTCTTGTCTTGATTCTTCTTATCACCTCGCTCATTGCTGTTGTCTTTTTCCGAGGAGACTGGCGATGAATGAAATTCACGCTTAAAATTTGATGATAAGACTCTTAACAGTGCTGCATTGGAATCAGGAAGCCCTGACCTTTGAAGCATCGAGCAAATAGCTCGATATTCTCGCCTTAAAATTTGTCTGAGCTGTAACAAAATAAAACAGATACAAATATCACGCAACATCTTACATAAGTGAGCAATTCAGAATATCTATGTTTATGACATTGTCTCTTGGGGCTCGTTTACCTTAGAACAATTTGGCGAGGAGAGACCACGGACGGCAGATACGGTCTCGTTCGTTGAACATCTCGTCAATTGAGTAAATTCCCTCTGCCAGACATGAAAGTCGGTCCGAAGAAACTGTCGGACTACGGGTCGACAAGACGGCCCAATTCGAAACATTATTTATCTTTTGAAATCTAACACGAACGCATTCAATAATGTCGCTGTTGGATAACAGCATTAGCTTTGTCTTCTCAGCATATCATCTAGGTCGGTCATCAATTCATGGAACAGAATGTCGAAAAGTTGCACCAAACAATCGAGAGGTTACGTCGCTCATTACGCCATAAAATAAAAACAGTAGCAGCAGCAGACAACTCTACTATCCGATCAGGACGACCAACTGAATGTCGGAAAAACAGAACTTCAATTGTTAATTTGCATAAAACGACTTATGAAATATCTCTAATTTTGGTTTAAGCTGCTTTAAATGATAGTTTCCTTTTATTTCAAGAAGTCTTGGAGCGGGTGTATAAGTATATAAAAGTCACGGTGCATAGAGAAGTTTTTCAGTTTCCCAAGGCATACCGCGTCGTCTGCTCTTTTTCTATTGCAAAGATAGTAAAGTCTTGTAATGCAATGTAAAATATGCAAACATCGACCATTGACCCGTATCTAGATTCACATTATTGTCACAGTTTTCTGACGTGGTGCTATCTTTGTTAAAAATTGAAACACAGATCAAACGTCACGAAACGAGAGAAATTACTTTGCTTTTTCCCGCGCTGTTTGGCAGTTGTCATCTGGATCTGGTGCGATACTCGAGAGAAAGAGGTCAAAACCCCAAAGACGTCACTGGCCCAACAGCACAAGAGATTATGGTTGTGATTGGCTGACACCTCATGACGTCATGAGATCTTGCCTGCAATTTCGCCCATGAAAAGGATTCGCTTAGTGTTTGAAATTTTGAAAAAACAAATGGGCTAGGGCTGAGGTGGAGATATCGTTTTTTGACATTTTCCTTTATTTATTCAAGTTTTTATGTCTCCTTAACTACGAAGAAAAAAATCACATTGGTTTGGCCTAGTTTGCTGTAAAAGAACTGTTCATGTGAGTGAAGCGATACTAAAATAGCTGATTGTTTGCAACGACTTCCTTCCTTCTCGTTCCGTTCTGTAGTGTTTCATTTCCTTCTGCTAATAGCCGTTTCTTTTCTATTACGTTCTTTCATTTCCGCGTCCCTCTTTAACTTTCAGATTGTTCGTTAAAGAAACAACAAATAGAAATAGTGTGCAATAAGCGTTTGAGATTAAGTCGGCATAACCTCCTCAGATGTTTATGCCAGATAATATTTTCCACCATGTCAGCTATTATAAAGGTTCCGCAGCTATGATCAGTAACATATTTTGATCTTCTGACTGTATCTTATTTGTAGGATGGAAGATAGTACCCCAGCGACTCCTCCAAAATGGAAGCGGCCAGACGAAGTAATGAGACTGCACTTGCTGAAAAAGAGAAGGGCTCTCGCAGCACGAATGAGTTGTAATAGTTCTCTTACAGAGTTTAAGAATGTATCGGACAGTTTAAATTCAACTTCTGGCGACCCTAAGCCACCACCTAATAAGAGAAAGTTAGTATACTAATCTATCTGTTAGTCTGAAAAATATTTGGTACAGCATGTTGGTACAGCTATGTCTTACTTACTTTGTTTCAGCTGCTTTCGACGCTCAACTTCAGGTGTGAAGCGATCTGTCGATGGAACCCCTGTGCTTGCAGAGTTAGATGCTTCTAGTGATAACACATTATTTCATCTTCTTCAATCTGATAGTGCTCCTGCACCTACTGCCAACAGCACTCCAACATCATTTTCCATTATATTTAACTCGTTCAATGTAGATAAAAGAGTATGTAGTTACCAGGTGTTTGCGTTCTCAATTTGTATTGTTTCTATTCCTTTCAAAATTTAATTTTAATCTACTTCTTAGAAAAGTGTAACGGAAGCAACTCCTAGAAGCAAAGGTGCTGCTCAAGTTCCCATTGATTGGACTTTGCGAACCAAAGTTCGTTTTATGTCCCCCAAGCCATTTCCTTTTAATGCTACTCTACGGACGTGTGAGGAGGCCTCTGGAATTACTGGGTATTTAACCAGTTTTAACATGTGTTGCCTGTGTGTTACATTCTGAGAGACTGTTCACCAATTTTCTTCTTGATACAGGTTTGTAAGGTGTGTAGACACAGGCCAAACAACTTCATCCCTGGACACTAGTCCTAATGCCCGCCTTCATCAATGTTGTTTGGTATGGCAGCATCCTTGGCTGCCTTGGCTAGACCTTTATCCTCGTCAGGCTGCCAAAGTTTCATCCACATCAGATGCCAACTTAAACATAGCTGCTATGCCAACCCTGCGAGATAGCTTGCAAAGTGACTGGTCCAAAAGTTTTCAGTCTCTATTTCAGGTAAGTTTGTTTTATTCAACTCTTGAACAGTGTAACTTTGTAAATGTGAATATTATTATTTTTTTTTTTGTTATTTTTTTTTGTTCTAGCTTGTTCGAGCCAGGCAGTGTCCATACTTTTATGTCTGTGCTAATAGCTTTACCTGTCTATTTCGTGCAGCAGGCATATGTGGGGTATCAGAAACTCATGCTCTTATCACTCCTACTACTAGAGGATTCAGGCATTTGCTGAAAGAAGAAGGTAAGATCTGTACTGTTTGCCATTTGATTCCATCCAAAATGGATTAAAACTCTTAACAAAGCTTGATTTTGATTCTCAGATGTAGAATTTACTATGCCCCTTAAAAAGAATTCTGTGAAGCGTAAGTCAGTGGATAGTGAATCTGGTTATGAGACATTAGACTCTGTAAATAGTGAAACAAATTCACAATGTGGAAGAAAAGAACCAATGGACAATGAAGAAGGAGCAGATGATGAAAAAGATGTTGAAGAAGATGATGTGAGCAATGACAAATGGCTTGAAAGCATGGGTATTGAAGCTGCAGAAATTCGAAGGCTTAATACTGTTCAGGTAACACTTATAGCTACATCTGATCCTTTCTTTATAAATCAACAGAAATGGGAAGAAGAAGCAGAAATGAATTTCAAAGTCTTATTACTGTTTAAAGTTTGTAGTTTTCTAATGTTCAGTTTTGTTTGTAGGTTCAGCAAAAAATGGACAAGGAGCGGGATATTGACAAGACCCCTGAGTCACTTATAATGGTTGAGGGTGTTGAGGCCCAAGCTCTATTTAATTTCCTTCTCAATTGCAAATCGTGCACTGCAACCACCGGACCATTAGCAGGGATTCCTCCAACCCTTCTTGCACCTGTTGCATTTCATGGTGCAACTTTAAGACCCAATAAGGTTTGACTCAGCAAGTTGTTTGTTTTTATTTTTGTCAATTAATCTTGCAAACTGTGTGTGACTTGTGAAATTTTTCTTTCTCACTGAAAAATATTTTACAGGTTCGTGTAAGCAAAGTCCAAGTGGAAACCACAAGCTACCATTCAGTGGAGCTTCAAGGCCCAGTTTTACCACATGCTGTTCTTGGTCTTTGTGATTTGTTGAAACCAACTTGTGATCAATTTTCCCTGACTTTTGCTAATTTGGAGTCAACCAAGGCGTTTTCTGAAGCTATGCATGCTCAAGGTATGTATTTCTTTCTACTTAATTTCAGGGCAATCTTCCAAAACTCCTTAATGTAGATGCCACATTAATATTTGCACATTTTTATTACTTTTCTAGCAATACCTGCCAGTCCAAATCAAGAAGAGAACCAGTCATCTTGTCCAGTCGCACCTCCGTGTGCTTTTGGCCAAGAGAATCTAACAGATTGTGGGTTAAGTAAAGATAATTTAGAACTATTTTGTTCTTCAGACAAAAACCAAGTTCAGGTCATGGAGAGTCTAAAATTTTCACATGATGTGTACTCTTGGATGTAAACGTTTTGTTGACTTCGTAGTTGTTCATCCTGTATTTTTGTTTAAGTTATGTTTTAAAGAAATGACGTGTTTGAAACTGAAAGGTATGGGCTGTGCCCTATGCATCACTTGCAAATTGAACATTGTTGGCTGTTGAATAGTCGCTCTAATCTAATCTACAATTGTACATGTATATTTTTTAAAATCTAATATATTTTGTTTGTTTTTTTTAAGTTAGTATTTTATGGTATTTTATTTATGGACTGTAGTGTTTCTTTAAGAGTAAATGGTTTTACATCAAATAGCGGTAGCTTGTGTTAACAAAATTTATTTTAGGAATACAAGACTTTAATTTAATTCAGTTATACACTGCAAAAGTTCATATTTTTGGGTGATTATAAAAAATTCATCACATAATGGCAATATGCCTACAATTAGCGCATAAGTGTATCGCCTTAACTAGATGAAGCCAAAGATCTCACCTAAGATTCAACAAATTCATTGAAAACTCTATACACAAGCTAACAAGTTATTCCCTTCCCCCAAACTTCTTCTTTATCCATGCTGGCGTATGATGCTGAAAACAGTGCCTAACCAGAAAGCTGTTCTTGTAAAAGGAAGCTGAACAAAACCCACATGTGAAAAGAGGTTGCAGCAGGCGAAGAGGTCCACGATGCCTGCTACTGACATGGTCTAACAATAAAGCATTGCAAGAGAAAGCTTCTTTGCAACGACCACATGCAAAAGGTTTTCCTGCAGCATGTTTCCAATCCCATCTTCCACCTGACAAAGGAATGCTAAGTGGTTCTTTAGGAGGTACATTCTCCTTCATGTAAGATATCTTTAAGGATTGAGAATCAGAACCATCAAGAATCAATTTACGTTTGGCATACGGACGCTTTATCAACTGATTGGTGGTTTTCAGCTCACTAAAAGGAAATTTTGGGCCTAGAAAAAACTGATTTTCGGTAAATTTTGGTTGATTAGGACTGGAGTTGGTTATTGAAAAATTTGACTGAGTGCTAGATTTGTTGTTATCAAAATGGGACAGTGACATTTCTTCAATTCTTTCATGCAAATTTACAGCAGTCAATTGACTTTGGGCAATTCCAGTTTCATATGACATTGGTGAAGGAATACATGATTGTCTTAAAAATGATATAAATTCCACAGCATGTTTCTTTTCTAGATGAAGCAGCAGAAGTTTATGGTGTTTGTGCATAACTTTGTGAACACAAAATGGGCACTTGAGATGCTGCTGGGTACTGCCATCTTGAAGCAAGGCTACAACAGCTTTGTGGTGTATCCTTAAGGCATGCTTTGCCAAGGTATCCTTGGCATGATAGCTCGATGAACAAAGTGGACACTTGTTCATCTCAAAATCTTCAAGATAAGCATTGCATGTCTTCAGTCTTTTGTTAGAAGTGGAACCACCAGCATTATTTTTAGCACTCACTCCAGAGGTGCTACTGCCATCTGAAGCTACAGAGGAAATATGGAGGAATTTATGCATATCCAAGGCCAGAAGTGAATAATCCATCTCAGACGGCAACACTGTAGGGGTGCTGTTGTTCTCCAGATCATAATCCTCATTTGCATTCATTGTAGGTTTAACAACAAAAATTCTATTTCAATACTGAAAAAATTTAGTTCTCATGGAAACTTTTACGAATCCTCAATTTCATCGTCTTCATTGAAAGAAAGAACTGATTTTGACTTGACCTTCTTAGAAACTTCGGATTTTGATTTGTTCTTGAGTTTGTCTGGCTTTCCTTCCGCCTTGCTTTTCTTTGCTTCTTTTGAGTTTTCCTGGGGCACCTCTGTAGGCTCCTGTGAATTCTTTTTAGCCTTTTCTGGTTTACAGAAAACGACTCGTTGACTTAAGTCAGCAGGCCCTAATTGATGTCAAAAGAAAAGAGGTAGATTAAAGAAAAAATAATCAGTGCAAATGTGAATATGAAATATTGAACCACATTACCTTCTTCCTTCTCTTGTATAGCTTTTGATACCTCCTCCGCAGTGAGGTCTCCTTCGTTCAAAACAACTACTTGAGGCTGTTCGTCATCATGATCATCACTATCTTCGTCATCAAATGCCAAAGCTTCCCTCTGCAACAAAGATAATTATAGAGCAAAGAACAAGACCGCTATGCTATGACATATTTTTTTTTCTGCGGGAATAACAACCACCTTAGTATCGACAGAAGGGCCCTCTTTGTAGCCTGCTTGTTCTTTCATACGCGCTATGAAGGCTGGTTCGGCTGGTTTCAGAAACGCCACATCTCTTTTCCTCTTGGACATCTCCGTCAGGCAGTAGAAGAAGTGCACACGAAATATAGACTATAATTGCCAATGAAAGAGCCCATGACAACACACACAATCACATTAAATAACCACAGGACGGCCAAATAAGCTGGACTTTAATAAGGGAGGAAACCTCACCCCTAACCAAAGCAAAGCAAGTGGCGGTTAAACCCCCTCCCCGCCCCAGTCCCCGCCCTGCTCCCCCTCCCCACCCCTCCCCAACGCGAGTAACGGTTAGTACCGGTGGATTACAACGTTCGATTCATCCCCACTTTTTGCCTTCGGACCACTACGGAGTCGTCCGAATCAAGCAGGCGAAGACGGTTCGTGCGTTCGGTCGCAGGATCTGTCAAAAAGACCCATCTCTGACGTCTTTAGAGCTTTCTGCTTCACTGCAAGGGGCAAAATCCAAGTTAAGAAACGACCAATACACTTTGATCAGCACAGGTAGAACATGTCAGCTCACGCTTTGTTGACATTATTTCGATTGAATACAAGAAAACCTTCACAATGGATGGGATTGAGGTAAGCACTTGCTCATGTCAACACTTTTGGCTAGGCAAGGGTGTAGTTTATTGATAGTATCGTTGGAGTTTTAGAATCAGAAAATGATTGGCAGCTGCTGCTGATCAAATCCATTTGAACATACAATTCGAGTGTGGTTGTGTTGTCATTTATCCGTCTAGTCATTCAGTACTTCATTCAACTTGTTTTAGTTACAAGAACATTCTCCATTCAAGAAGGTATGGCCATCTTCGTGGACAAGAACCTGTAGCGCCAGTTCAGACAATTGCTGAGAGTAAGTATTTGTCAGATGGATTCCATTTTACTGTACCATTCTGGTACTGTTCTGATAGTAAACCTTGGTTGTTGGCTGTTCTAATTTTTGTGCACTTTAATTTTTATAGTGAGGGAAAAGCTACATAAAATTATGGGGATTCAAAAAGGATACACTCCTCTCAAAGTTGACCGAACTCATCTCTTGGAAATGCTTCCCACCAGCCAGGCCGAGCTTCCTGTTAAAACTATGAATGTTGGTACCACAAAAACATAAATTTACAATAATTGATACAGTCAATCCTCGTTAGTGCGACCCCCAGATACAACAATTTCTCCATTATAACAATTTTTGTTGCTGTCCTATGTGATTAGTTTGCTCATCAACGCTATTGGATACAGCAATTTCTCCGTTGTGATGTTTTGGCTTGTGGTCCCAGTGGAGCCGCACTAATGGGAATTGACTGTAGTTTATCCTTTTCGACCTGAGCTTTGATTTTGCAAACCAACTTTCTCTGACAGGATAGTTTTGACCATGCTGTCATACCATTGAGCACTGATCTTGACATGAGAGAAAAGTATTCTACTCTTCACGGGCATGTCAGACTAGGACGACTCATGGAAGACATGGACATATTTGCTGGTGAGTTATTAATGAAATTATTCCCTAAGTTTTCTGTGTAAAATCTTTTTATTTTAAATAAGATTACTTCTCTTTTTCAGTCTGGTTATCATTTAAGCATATTGAGAATCCCAAGCAATTACCAGATCTTCCCACTCCATACAATATTGTTACTGTCTTGGTAGATCAAATTGATTTTACGTCTGTTGTTCCAACCGTAAGTTTTGATTTTGAAATAATAGTATCTTTCACAGTTGTAATGAGTCGGAATTTTCTTAAAGGCATTAGGGAATTTTAATTGATTGTTATAGCCTGATGCAGACATTCGCCTCTCTGGGCATGTTTCATGGGTGGGGAAATCCACTATGGAAGTTGTGGTATGGTTAGAACAATTTCAACATGGAGCATGGAGAAAAATTACCAGGGCAATTTTCCTTATGGCTGCACGAAATTCTACCAACACTCATTCAGCATGTATCAACAGTTTGAAACCTACTGATGAAGAAGAAAAGAAAATTCTTGATGGCGGAATTGGTAAACAAGTTCAGTTCTGCCGTATTTTTCGCACAAATTGCAAAGTACTGACACAGTACAATTACTCTTCCAGCCCGCAAACTTAGAAGAACTCAAGTTCAGAAAGCCAATTTGCTTCGAATTGCTCCAGACATAAATGAACAGCACATTATTCATCAACTGTTTTTGGATACTGTTGACCCTCGAGATATAACATTTGAGCAGCGAGCACTTCCCCCAAATGGTCGCTGGATGTCTGACACCCTTGTTACCAATATTATTAATTCTCATCCTGAGGTAAGTAATAGGGTTTGAAGAATAGTTCTTGATTAGTTAATGAGGAACCACTATACTATGTTTATTTTGGTTTTAGGACAGAAACTTGCACAATACAGTTTTTGGTGGATTTTTAATGAGGCAGGCTGTTGAACTCTCATCAACTTGCTGTTTTGCTCACAGGTATAGCTAAGAATTAACATGATCTGTAGTAATTTCTGTATTTTATTGAAAACTAATAGGAAAGAATCATTGTAATTTTTACACAGCTATTTTAAGCCTCGCCTCATCTGTATGAGTGACATAGTGTTTCATCATCCAGTTGAAGTTGGAGCACTGTTACGAATGCATGCTAAAGTATGTGATAAGACTTTTTTATTTTACATCTTACATGTGCACATTCATACATTATAACACTTTTCTTTTTTGCCAGGTTGTATATGCAGAAATGGATCATGCCCAAGTTATGACCCATGCAGAGGTCACAGATCCATATGGAGGGACAAAAAAGACAACAAATGTATTTAATTTTACCTACAAGATTCCTCAAATTGCTCGTAAAGTCTACCCATCTTCGTATCATGGTACTATTTAAGAGTGTTTTTTCCTTCCATTCTAACTAATTGACAACAACATTTTAAAATACTATGTATTTCATTAACTTTTTACAGAGGCTATGGCATACTTAGATGGTCGCCGTCATTTCCAGCATGCCTTGGGACTTACTGGTAAAACAGAGCCTAATTTTACGAAAGGTCTCTAACTGCTGTTATTTTTCTTTTCATCTAATGGTTCCTCTGTATGAATCATCTATATGGATCATCTAAAAGATCTAAAGGAAGTAACAAGAAAAAACAAAATTTTGCTTCTTGTGTTAACTTTATTAAGAGTTATTAATAGTTCTAGCGAATGGAGTAGAAACGCAAACTATTTTCCTACTCATCGTGTACAAGCTCCTTTGTGTCTCCCAGGTACAAATGTCAAGCACAATAAGAGAATCGGAGATAAACAATGTGCCTACAAATCTCACAAAAGACCATAGGAAATTAAAGATATTTAATTTTCCTTCATATTTAATTTTTTGGAGTATATTTGAGGCTATTTTAAAATATTTAATGTACTTAAGAAGTTTTAAGAAATATTGCTTGATTCTGTTATTAGTTTTTTATCTATCCCCAGTGAGAAATGGCAGTTGAATTGACATTGAAACAATTTCGAAATGGTGGAATCGACGTCGAAATGATATAGTTTAGAAACTAATTTTTCACTGGGTCTTGTCTGTGATCCCAGATATTCACATTTCAGGGACATGTCCACCGCTAACCCTCTGTAATTTCATTATGACTTACGTTTTAGTACTTGTTTCCTCATTTCAATTTTTTTTTTTGCACAGAATGTTAGGTCAATGGTCCCTACTAAGTGCTATAACTAAGTACCTGATCTATTCTTTTGTTAAGTTTTTCAAAGGCCTATCCGAGGGGTGGATAACTCCCCTGCCAAATGTACACCCCTAATTCTGCCCAATTCAAACTAATTCAGACCAATTCTATCTAATTGAAACGAATTCAAAAATAATTTAACTGATTCAGTCCAATTCAAGACAATTAACATTCAATTCAAGACAATTCAGTAAAATAAAATCGCAATAATTGAAACCAATTGAAAAACAATTCAACCCATTCAGACCAATTCAAATTCAATTCAAACCAATTTAAGCTAATTCAAATTCAATTCTTGAAATTTGAACACCCAATTCAGGAGTTATCCACCCCTCGGGCTTATCTGATATTAAAAGTATTAACTGTAATATTAATAATAATGAACAACAATAATTCTTTGATGTCCCTACACTGGGTGTGGGCGCCCGGCAAACCCACTCGCACGTACGCATGTGGACTCCTGGTGGGGTGGGCGGCGCCCACCCTGTAGATGTAGAGGGTGCAGTTTTAATTTCAATTCCATTTATGTTGTTTGTATGTGTGACATAAATAACATGCAAGGTGGCTGATTAACCCAGTGCACTTTCCTAGTTTTTTTTTT